CGGTGTGGGGCAGGGGGCGCGGGGAGCCGCAGGAGCCACTGGTGCCCGTGGGAGCGGACACGGGGGGACAGCAACGGCCGGATGATGGGAGGTAAGTGACAGGGGGGAGGGGAAGGGGAAAGGGAGAGGAGTAAGAATAAGGAGGGAACTAAGGGGGGGAGTTTGGTCTCTCCTTGCCGTGTGTGATGTGTGTTGTAACGTATGTACTGCCACGTATGGATTTATCCGGTCCAGGGAGTGAAGTGATGGTTTCTGTTCAGAATTCAGGCTATTGCTGGAAAGATGTCTTTGGATTTCTTAGAGCAGACGAAGAACATTTCAGTGCTGGGAGGAAAGCAGCATCAGGGCAGGGTGGACAGGCAGGCTGCTTGAGCCCAGAGGAGCTGGGAGAAGCTGAACTGAGGTAGGCTCTCCTTCTCTGGTCCTTCAGGTTATATCAAGTTATAAAAACTGAAAGGGAGACTCTCTAATTGCGTGGAACTGCAGTATTTCAGCTCATCAGGATAACCTGTGTTTAAACTCACCTTTCCTCAGGGAAACAGGCAAGTCCTCTCTGGGGTCTTGTCTGAGGCAGCAGTCAATGCTGAGCTCTTCATCAGTTACTGAAAATCATGTTTTAGTGGGTTTAGAAAGGCCTGAGGAGAAATTCCATGTTAGAAAATCAGGTTATAGCTCCAACATCTTAGGTTCTTTCATTCTCTTTGGGCAATTGCTCCTGAAGCCTTCCTAGGAAAGAGCAGGGCTCACCATGCCATGGGTCCGGTCAGGAGACTGGTCCCCTGGAAACTGATCATTTCATGCTCAGATGTATCAGAGTTTTCATTTGACTGTACAGGGACCTGGACACAGGCACAAGAGAAATGGCTCTCCATTGTGAGGAAGAAGAGATGTCCCCATTCATCATCCACATTTTAGGCCACGGCTCCCCGATCACTGTGAGCTACTCAAGACTGCAGGTCCTACAGGTGGTCCTGGAGGAATGGGCTCTCAGTCACATTGGCATGTGAGAAAACCTGTTTGGCTTTTTAAAGCTGAATAATCAGCACGAGGTGTCCTCTTGCTGTCCCCCAGTCTGACACACACGGACTGCAGGTCTGACTGGCCCGTGGGTCACAGCAGGGTCTTGAAACTCAACCCCATCTCATGGTGGTAAGGACAAATTTCTGCATGAGAATCTGATGGAAGTGGATGCAGAGGAGACAGTAGGTGGTCACACCTCAGCATCCTCTCATGAGCTCAGGGATGACATTCCAGCACAGCAGGACTGTGCTCATTCGAAGATGAAAGTGCTTCTGCTGGAGCTGACTAAACCAATGTTTTTGGTTACCCACCTGCTGCATTCCCTTAGGTCTGACCCTCTTGCTGCCCCCGGAGAGCTCCTATGCACTGTAAGGAATTACATCCTCAGGAGGTAGCAGACAGTAACAAGGTGTGGGATGCTGTGCACCATGCCCAGGTGTGGGATAAACCTGGCAGGTCTCTTGAGACCCCGAGTGGAGTGGGGAGCCTGTCTGCTCCCCCACCACAGCAGCCCAGGGGACACAGTTCTGGACTCTCTCACACCTGTGTAAGAATGAAGTCCCTTCTGACTCCTGACTCTGAGCCTCGGAGGTGTTTCGGGACGAGTCCTGAATGCCAACCACTCTTTGTAAACAAGGTGAACAATCCCTTTCCCTGCTTTCAGCTCTGCTCCTCATCTCATGGCAGCTCCCCAGGTCCATGTCTTGTGAGAGGATCAGACTGGGACCTGGTCTAAGGCTGATCCTGATGCTCCCAGTCCCATCAGCACTGGTCAAACAAGGAACTGAGTTGCCTGCTGCGTTACAGCAGCACTAGCTGAACCTGCCACCGTTGGTCACACTGTCCTACCCAGGCTTCTTTCACTCATGAATGTGCCCAGAAAACAGCCACAGCCACTTTCCAAGATGTGTTTGTTCTTCTCTCCACCTCCTTCCCTCCATGCCACAAAATTGCTTTAACATCCACTTGCTTTTGAGAGGGAACCTCTCGTGGATCCTCTGGCATCCACAGTACTCCCTGGAGTAAGGCAAGCCAGGAGTGGGTGTTATGGGAATGCACAGGTACAAACACAGCCCAGCACCTTGTTTCCATCAGAAAAGGGCTGAGCTCTGACTCTTGGTGGTATTTGCAGCTCAGGCTGCTGGTGGGACTGAGCAGCACCTTGGTTTGAGGGCTGTGGGATATGACTTCAGGCCCCTGCTGCTGGACAGGGAGCAGCTGACCTGGGTTCTGACAGTTCTCTCTTAAGGGAGTCTTTCAGCTCTTTGAAGGCTCTGCTTATTAACCCCTCATGCCGTGTGAGGTCCATCGATTTGTGCCAGAGCCACGGGGCTTGTCGGGAATGGCAAGGACCTAAGCAAGCAGCTGCTGTCTCCAAGAGCCTGTCACCGACTCCCTCCTGCATGTGGAGTGTCTGCAAACACCCTGTGCACAGCTGACAGGCTCTCCCTGACATCAGTAGTACAATGCCACCTAAAATCACCTGAAATGTGTAAAAATGGCTATCAGCAGAGGTGAGGGACTGGAGATTTGTGCCCCTGGGGAGTCATTCCGGTGCATCGAGTGCTGTGGGGGTTGGGCTGTGTACGGTGAAGTGTTTTCTCTGCCCGTTCCATGTCTCTACTGCCGAGTCTCACCTTTTGCAGGAAAGACAAGTGTTTTCGCACTGCAACTGAAACCCTGGAGCAGAATTCAGCTGTGGTTCGGAGGAGAAAATATGAGGGAGTCTGAAGTCAACTTCTGATGTGATTTCCATGCTCTGAAATCGCTCCAGGCTAATTGCTGGGGTTCGGTGCAGGCAGAAGCTGCCTTTGCTCTCCAAAACAACCTCCAAATGGCTCTGCCTTTATGTTTTGACAGAAAAGGGCTGAGTGGTTTGAAGTAGAAAATGAAAGCCCCAACAGAGCAGTGTTGTGTGGAACTTGAAGGAGAAATAGGCTCTGGTGAAAACAAAGACCAAAAGGCTGACGTGGGATTGAAACAACTTCAAACTCCACCTGAGATTTTCCTGTATTTGCTACATGTTGTGACTAGTTCTTCTTTCTAACTCACCTGTGGATCTGTTGTTCTTCTTGATCCATGTGTTGAGAGCATGTGGTCCCAAACCAGCCCTTTTCCAGCACACCACTAGAACTGCTCCCCTGTGCTGGGAAACCTCTGTCCCAGGAACCCAGCATGCTTCAGAGGCTCCCCCATCTCCCTGTTTGAGGGTGGTGTTTGCAGTGGCAGCTTCATCCTCACCAGCTCCAAGAGAACCTAGTGGCTGAAGGTGATGGATCATGTCCTAGGCCAGCTGGAGCTGTGATCTCAGTGACCTCGAGAGGAGGGTAGACTGGGGTCAACCCACCATGCCTCGCTCGCTGCTTCAGCCATACAGGTCGCAGGTGATGGGGTTTCTTGAGGACTTTGACTATTACTCTTCCCTGGCCAAACTCATGTCCATCTACCAAACAACCAACAGGACCATCTTCAACTGGACAGATAGCCGCATTGTTGAGTGGGAGAAATTTGCTGAGCTGGCTGAATATGAGCCAGAATCCCAGAAGCCAACAGTGAAGGCTCTCCTGATTGTGGCATACTCGGTCATTATCATCATGTCCCTCTTCGGGAACATGCTGGTGTGCCATGTGGTGCTGAAGAACAAGAGGATGCACTCAGCCACCAGCCTCTTCATTGTCAACCTGGCCGTGTCTGACATCATGATCACACTGCTCAACACACCTTTCACCCTGGTAAGTGGCTGTCTATTCTGCCCCTCCAGCCAGGAGGAGTCTCCCACCCACCAGAACTCTGCCTGGTGGTCACAGCCTCTCTGTGCATGCTCTCCTGGGGCTGAGGCAGGAACTCAATGCCACCAAGTCTAATAGACAACTCTGCCAGGCAAGTAAAACACTGGTCAGCAACCCATGGGCTCCCTTTGCACTGTTAGACTCCGTGTCTCCTGGAGACTCTCAAGTCTCTGTACCACCAAACCCCAGTAGAGCTTCTCAGGGAGTGAGAACAGGCTCCTGGGTGAAGATGTGCATTTGATGTTCATGCAGGAGAGCACTACAGTCCCGTAGTAGGTCAGAACAGCCCAAATGCCAGTCATACTGGGTGACTAGAGGAAAGCAGTTGAGCTTTTCAGTGCTGCAGTTTGGGTAAAGGCTTCAGTGAGAGCTCTCCAGACCTGATCATAGCGTCATGGCCAAAACTTGGTCCACTTTTTGCCAGATATAGGTGTCAGTGCAATAGAGTTGTTGCCACTGTTCACGGTCTCTGTAGATCAGGCCAGGAGGGCTGCAGCAGCACTGTCCCCTCATCTGTGGGGTTTGACCTTGTGTTTCAGCGCCCAGTGCAGCTCATCTCTCTTTGAATCTCAGGTGAAGCTGCCCAACCAGCCAGAGCCTGAGGCAGACCAGGTGCCACCCAAAGGGTCTCCCCATGGATTGTTTTCAGCACACTTTGGCGGCTGATGAGCTGCTGTGTCCCCTCAGGTTCGGTTTGTGAACAGCACGTGGATCTTCGGGAAGGCAATGTGCCACGTCAGCCGCTTCGTGCAGTACTGCTCCCTGCATGTCTCCACGCTGACCCTGACGGCCATCGCGCTCGACAGGCACCAGGTGACTTGCCACCCAACCCCCCTCCCTTCCAAGCCTCTTCCCCAGCCTTCTCAGTCTCAGCAGAGCTGTGGGTGTGAGCTGGCTGAACCTGGGGATTCAACCCATATAGAGTGGGAAGGTTCTAGAGCTAAATTCAAAGCTGTGCCGAGGCAGGAAGGCTTGATGGGACTCTGTAGGCTCCCAGGCATGGGCCAGGAGGGAAGGAATAGGATACGTCATCATGTGTTTCACAGGGCACTCCCAGATTTCCAGCAGAAAAGGGTGAGGACACCTCTTTCACACAGTTTGAAGAGAACCAGGCACAGCCTAACTCGAGGCATGGCAAATGGCTCCAAAGCTGTGTCATGTGGGAGGCCTGAAAAGGCAGCAGAGCCAGTGCTGAGAGCCAAGCACTCCTTCAGCTGTGCAGGAGCTTCTCCAAGGTGTTTAGCTTACCACCCAAAGCCTGTAGAACACCAGAGTGAGTCATCCTGAGCTCTGATCGTGATCTAGTTATCTGTTTGTTCTCTTACTCTTCTTTCCCCATTGGGCATTTGCTATGCCATGCAGCTGTAGGGCAGTTGGAGTCAAATTCTGGGACTGGTGCTGGACCAGTACAAAGGGGAGTGGCATAGTGGGAAATCTCTGCTGGAATACTGGGAGGAGACTTGAGCTATGAGGAGGTCATGCCCACTGTGTGCCCGTGACAGTGGCAGACCCACGAGCCCAGGGCAGGGCAGCGAGGGCAACACAGCACTGCCCTCCCCTGCGCCATCGCTCAGGGTGACTTCCAGACTATCAGACTTTGTCAGCTTAATGAGCTAGCAAAGAACATTTCATGAAAGGTGAGTGGCTGCCTCAGCAGAGAGGAGAGGGCTCAGCTGCACAGCCCAGCTACAGCAGGAGACATTTCTGGTGGAGTTCAGGCAGAATAATCAACACACCCTGGAGTGAAGACACCGGTGTAGGTATCTTCTTTTTTCCCAACCCAATGCAACCCCCAGTTTAAGGAAAATGGTTCTCACAGAACAAGATACAGGATAGAGTTTAATCAGCTTTTCTGAGCAGACTGAGAAGTAAAACATTTCCTGTTTTCCAGATCACACTAATGAGCAGGACACTTTCCTAATCATGGCTGTCATTTTCGTGTCATTAGCTGCATCAGGTTTTGTCACAAACCACCTCTGCTGCATGGGCTGTGAGGGGCTTTGCTCCCCCGGAGAGGAGTCACGGCAGAGTCTCTATTGCAGGTCATCCTGAACCCGCTGAAGCAGAGGATGTCCCTGACAAAGGGAGTGCTGAGCATCTCTGTCATCTGGCTGATGGCAACCTGTTTCTCCCTGCCCCATGCCATATATCAAAATCTTTTCCAGTACAACTACAGGTGAGCGAGGCCCGTCTGCCACGGGGACTGGGGCTGTAGGAGAGCTGCCTGTTCTGCTGTGGGGCACAGCCCAGGCCCTGGGTTTGCTCCTGCCCTGTGCCCAGGCAAGGGGCTGTGCCCTTGCCAGCCCCGTGCTGGGGCAGTGGCAGACACAGCCTGTGCCGGTGGCACCACCTCCAGGGCCATGGCCCTGCCAGGTGACCTCTGTCCCCAGAAGGTCATTTTTCTCCCGAGGCCCTTTCCTCTTCCCTCCTCATGCTTGCTCAGCTTCTTAGACCCCAGGAGACCATGTCCAGCCAACTCACTCAGGCAGGGAGGAGAGAGACAGCCAAACTGCAGTTTGAAAGCAAGAAAATAAACCTCATGGTGGGAACAACTGGTGCTGACATCAGCAGGACTGCAGGGAGCAGGAGGAGGGGACCACCCTGGTTTGTAAGCAAAGCCACTGACCCCGTGTCCCCAGGACTTCACGTGCCGAGTCACACACTGAGATTTCCCTGTATTTCATCCCTGTGGATGTACAAAGAAGGCCCAGCCTTCCTTGAAGATCGAGGCTTCTCTGCCCAGTGTTACACAAACTAGAAAAGCAAAGAAAAGCTCTCACTGCCTCCTCTACAGAGCTGGGTGGGGGGACCAGTGCAGGGCAGGTGAGGGACCAGGACTTCACCAGGAACCGGAGCCGTCTTGGTGTGCTGCAGAGAAGGGAGCGCTTTGCTTGGCTGAACACAATGACAGGAGCTATTAAAAGATGAACTGGAATTTCACACCCATGTGAGAGATGCTGAAATGTCAGAAGAAAGTGAAGGTTCTGATCTAGAGGAAAAAAAGAAACAGGAAAAATAAAGCCGCAGCTTATGTCCCCACAAACAGCCCATCGAAGGCACTGCTGTCACCCTCTGCCAGCATAAGCCGCAGAGCTTTGGGTTGCTTGCCCTTGCAGCCTGTCCCTCCTTGGTTCCCGACCTGTTCTGCCCCTCCTGCCCCACCAGCCTGTGGTATTGCTGTGACAAAACCGTCTGTAAGGGTACCTGGGTGGGTGTGTTCGTGGCGGCTGTCACTGCTGGTGCTGCCCTTGGCAAGAATGCCAAGCCTCCTGGAGCCCAGGGGGATAATCTTACCACGACCTGTGTTTTCAGGCTGAGATCAGCATCCCAGGGAGCAGGGTGAGGAGGCACTGGCAGGCAGCAGGATGGAGGTTTCTACCGTAGACATTGAGCTTTTGCATAAAGGACAAACATCATTTCCCACAGCCCAGCTCAGTCCCTCCCCTCGGCGAGGGGGAGAGCAGGGGTGCACACTCAGGCTGTGGCTGCGGGTGCTGTACTTGGGGCTGCACCAGCCAGGGCTTTGCAGCCCTCCCCTGAGCCCCTAGGGATGTCATTCCTCCCACTGCCCAGGCTGTAAACACAGGGCAGGGTTAGTCTGCGGTCGCAGCTGTGCTGGGGATTAGGGGCCGAATTGCTCATGAATGAACGAACGCTGTGATCCATTTCAGGGCACCTGTCTTTGCTCATCCTTTGGCACAGCCAGAGGAAACTGAGCCCCGCGTCGGCACGAAGCTGCTCAGCAATATAAGGACTTCCAGGACATGCTATTCCTGTCCCTGCTTTCCATTGAAAAAAAATCCCAGTTGTAATGTGGCTCGTAATATCTCCTGCTGGGCTGGAGCTCCTGAGATTCCCACCAGGGAGTGGCTGAGTTCTGGGATGGGGCTTCACCAGCATCCAACTCTTTGCACAGCAGCTTGGCCAAGTCCCTGGTCATATCAGAATCCACTGAAACAGTGCCCAAAGACACCGAAGAGTCTGACCCTGTTTGGCAGGTCCCCTTTGGCAGGCAGGGCCTGGCTCATCTGTGCCAGCACTGAGCCAGATCCTGGGAAGGGAAAGGCCAAGACTGCAGTTCAGAATGGATGATTTTCCCTTCTGCGTCAGTTCCCCCTCGAGTGGCATCTCCAGGTCCTCCACACTCAGCGGATCTCAGCTCCCACTCCCACTGTCACCCCTCCGACCTCAGCCCTGCTCCAGCTGCCAGTTCTCAAAGATCTTCTATCTGTGGCACAAAAGGCAGATCCAGAGGTTGAAAACAGGATATTAAAGATATCGGTCAATACTGCAGTGAATAATACTGCTTGGTGGGAGCTAAAGTCTGTGCTGAATAGAGGAGAGCAGAGGACAAGGGCTGAAGAGAGAAAGGCAAAATGGAAAAGAAAAAGAGGGGAAAGGAGGAAATATCAATTGGAAACAAATGTGGAAGTGCTCCTTTCTCCTAGTATTTCATCGCCCCCAGTCACCAGCTGTGGGGTGTGGAGGGGACATGTGGTGCTCTGGAAGGTGCTGGGAGCACTGCAGGGTGAGGGGTCAGTCCTGTGCTGGGGGCACTGCAGGGTGAGGGGTCAATCCTGTGCTGGGGGCACTGCAGGGTGATCCTGTGCTGGGGGTACGGCTGGG